AACTCGGGTTGCCAGGTCCAAAATGTAGTGTGCGAACTATTGCAGCACCGCTTCCACTCCCCGTGTACGAAATATTTGCTAAGAGCAACGCCTGAAAAACCATTTGGCCACGCATGAAGCTCAACTCCTTGCCTCTCCTCCACCCCCTTCTTCAGAATCATAAGATTTATACTGGAGGAATTCGATCAGCTCGAAAGCTAATTTTCACAGATGTTCAGTAGGGTCGGGTCAAACATTACAACTGAAAACACACAGGAGTGGAAAGTATAGAAAAGGTAAGGAAATCACGCAAAAAAAATGCCTACAAAACTATTTTTTTTATCTTACCAAGTAAAGCCCACTGAGGTATTTATTGTTCGGAAGGGACCTGGCCATAAATGCTGGCGCAATAAGGTGACATATCATGTGGAAATGTATAGCAGCAAAATAATGTAACTACAGGCAGTTCCTGGGCTACGGAAAGGTTCATTTCCCGAGAAATATCCATAACCCGAATTCCCCGTATGTCGGAAACTGAACAATTTTTTTTCCCCAAAATCCCGAGATACAATCCCCATATCCAGAAATAGTTGCGCCTCCCCCTACCGTTTGCTCTCGATACCGTTTCGCGCTGTTCCATATCGCGAGCTGTATCGTAACGCTGTGTAACGTACGCTCGGCACCTCCTATGAGTCTTTCGTTTCATCTAATGTCTAGCCTAACACTACCCATTATTAAACTAGTGTAACGTATACCATACTGACACGTAGGCTTTCGCGACCAATATCCTCCATAATATAGTTGTTTTTCCTCTGGGTTGGATCACGTAAATAAATGTGTCGTTAAACCTGCCCACCACCCGACGCGGCCAATTAGTAAGGTTCGGCACGTAAACAGAACGTGGCAATGTTCTGTTTACGATTGTTTATGAATACCCCGAAGCATAGGAAACAAAGTATGACGTAATGCTATAGAAGGGCAAGAGGCGATGTGGCGGCGGGTCGAGTCTACTCAGAGGGTAACGATGTCACAGCGTGACTCGGAGTGATCTTCTACTGCAGGGACAACACCACCGCCTTGGGGAACACGCGGCCCTGCCTGCGGTGTTCATCCGCAACCTCACCACCATGCACGATTTGCGCTTGCGTAGCTAATGCTAACATTTACGCACTCAGTACTGCAGTAAATGCGTGTTTCTCAATGTGGAGGGGAAAACCTTGAAGCACCGTGACCCCCTTAACCCCCTACACCACCCCCCCCCGTTAAGCACCGTGACCCCCTTACCCCCTACACCCCCCCCCGTTAAACACCGTGAGCCCCTCCTCTGGCGCCTTGCACCACCCGACGTGATGAGGGTAATGGTCGATGAGGAAGCAGTTTGAATGCCTCTGGGAAACCGCCCGGCGAAGAGCGACTGCGCCCCCCCATCCCCCCAAGTGCGGTGTTGCGCATTAACGGAGTTCCTTGTCCAAGGCGATGTTGGTGAACTCGGCGAGAACTCGGCGAGAGCTCAAGTTATAACCGGCCTCAAGTTATAACCGGATCGGCCTCGTCTGCGACAGTGACCAGCGTCAACAAATTGCCACGTGCAAAGCAAACAACGCAACACGTGCAGCTATGAAGCGAATAGGGATGGGAACACAAAGCACAATAAATCTAATATTTTGCACAATAGTAAATCACTGTTAAATAAATAATATTGCCCAATGCCGCAAGTCGGCTCGGCCGGATTATTTATTTGACTGATCATAGCACAAATGCCAACTTTATGTTGACCCTTTTGCTCATGAGGATGCAAGAAACGCGATGATGGTGGTGGTGGGGGGGGGGTGAGTGCGGATTCACGAGGGGTTTCTCAAGACCTTCAGTCCTCGTCACCCACCACAGCTTCGTCTTCACGCGTTCACCAGTCTTCTCATTTACTCGCTCGACGCAGCAAGCGCCGGACCATTGCTCAATGCCACGGCCAAGACGCGCGCTGAACGCCGTCTGCGTTCAGCACGGGGCGGGGGGGGGCGATGTAAATACGGCACAGGTGAAAAGCAGCAGCAACAACAACAACAAAAAATAGCGCAACAAATAATTCATCGAGGGGTTAGGGTTGATCATCTCTTTCTTTCAGATCTGTATTTAACTATTAGTAAAAGCACTTGTTACTGTTGGCACCGTACTTAGAATTGTTCATACAGCATTGTTTCATCGTGCCATTTATACCTCAAATCGTACACACGTGGAACGCGTGCACACGCACAATACACGCACTGAGATCTCGATCTTCATTTGAATCGGCTGTTAACGCAGGCAGCGTGAATTGGCTAGCGGGTCACGAAGGGCCTGTTTAACCATCATCGGGCGCGTGCAGTGGGGAACGAGTTGATGAGTAAATCGGTAAACGCGGAAACACATTGCCAGGACTGGATTTTGGGAAGCCTTGGAACGCAGCCTCAGCTCTGTTATCGCACATAACCAATGTGACCAGCATCCCACCATTTAACAGTATTCCACCATCTGCCTTTCGGCCTTCACCTTGGTGAATTTTGCTAAGTTTAATGTTTTATATTTTGAAATGTTGTTAGGAATGTTTTTTAAAGTAAGTTTAATTTTAAATGACAAACGTGTGCGTCGTTTTGGTTTTATATCGATCTTATTGTTATATCTCATTTCAGCTTAAGTTTACATATCTACATTACTGTGGTGCTTATACTGAGAGTGTTTAAATGTTCAAGGATTTTTGTTCTTTATTCAGTAATCCAATAGAAATCAATATTTTGAAGTTTTGTTTAGGCGTTTTGGTCTTTTGGGGTCTTTTTGAGTAACTTTAAAATCAACAATCGGAGATGAACATTCCATTGAGACTCAACTTTATCTCTCAATAGACACACTGGGTACAAGTGCCAGAGGAAAAACATACATGAAGATGATTAATTTCAGACAGAAGGCCTTGTGGGTGATGGATTGTGTAAGAAATATTTAAAAAAAATTAACGTGGAGAAGGATATTTGAATGAAGACGATTGTCTCGTTAATTACAGTTATTTTGATGGCGTCAGCGAAGACAAGAGGTCCACTTTGCCTTTCTTCAGGAACTGCTGATGTTTTTTTTCAGACTGTACATAACGGGCTGAGTGCAATTTGTACACGTTTCCCTGTGTCGTGTGAAACGTAGGGCCTGCACTATTGTTCTCTTGTGATGGTGGGGGTTTTTATTGTAATTTACAGATTTGATTAACGTTACCAGAAACAGAAAAAAGACTGTATACTGCCAATTAACAATACTTTACAATGTAAAAGTAATGCCCATGAAAATAATCCCGAAATATCCTATGCACATTGAAGTGCAACGTAATATTGAATAGCGTCAGAACAACAGCAATTTGTTGTCAATAGTCGTCACCTTATCAGTTTAGAGAGCAAATTACTCTCACACTGTTCCTGTTGTGATTGTATCCCCCAACCCCACCGTGTTATGCAATGTGTAACATTGCTGCATTTGCTTAATCTGTACGCTTGTTCTCAGAGTGGATTAATTATTAGTCCAAAGTCCACAATCATGGCTGATCATTAACATTCATTAACGGTTCGTACCAACCGCCTCTCATCTGTTAGGTCACCATGGCATTCACGGCCTACTGCTTCTGCTGAACGTTGTGAAAATTGCTTTCTGTAATTGGTTTCTTTTTTTTATTGAAAGCTTTTGTGACTGCAGGGATTCATATTCTTGGTTCTTTTGGTGAAGTCACGTAGAAGGGAAACAATTAAATAATAAAAATATAAAACAATAAAATTCTCACGACGTTTCGACTGCAACACCTGATGATGATTGCTTGTGTTGCAGTCGAAACGTCGTGAGAATTTTATTGTTTTATATTTTAATTATTTTATTGTTTCCCTTCTACGTGACTTTACCGAAAGAACCAAGAATATGGTTTATTTTTGTTTAAAATTTTGAAACCTTACGAGGGAACGGTGGCACAGCGGTTCGTGGTCTTCTTGATGAACATTGTGAACGGAGTTGTATTCTCGGCCACAACTTATGTCGGTGGCGAGTGATCTGTGAACCGGTCCGGGAGCCAATCCCCTGCATAAACCCGCACTGATCAGTGTGGTGATGTGTGGTCAAACAATAACCATGTGGGGTGGATTGCCAAAGGGCTGTAAAATGAAAATAACCTTTCAATAATGATAAGTTGCACCTAGGCTATCCATTGCTGGATGAAAGCGTCCCCTGCCATCGGCATTCCTTCATGCTCGTGTGATACCACAAGTCCATCTGAGGTCCAAGAACTAAGCTTGTCGCTCCCTCTCTGGATTGTCCTTTCCTTTGGCTGGCATTCTGCCACTAGTCTTGCCCTTCAGCTATCTTCCCTTCCAGCAATGTAAATTGCTTTCTCTTGCCCAAGCCGACTTTTTTTCCCGGTCAATTATAGTGTCTCTGATTTTGTGTAACGTTCCCTGATCCATGCGTTTCTGAATGTACTCGAATGTCTATGAATGCATCGTTCCATGTAAACGTAACGACCGAGCTGAAATCCCGTGATACCGTGGGCAGCCATCACCTGCGGCCATTGTCCCACCTTCCTTCTGTTTGTTTGCACTTTTTTGTTGTGTTCCGAAAGATTTTAGGTGGGGGGGAGGAAACAAACCGAGTTGTGAAGGGCGCAAAGCTCTGCTGGCAGACATCTCAATAAAATGTTTGGAAGATGTTTCCACCATGGTCCCTCATTCAGAATGTTTTTTTCCTCATGTTCATTTAAAACTATTAATCTTCTGGAAGATGTTCACGCCCTTTGGTGACATGTCTTCCCCTTACGGAAGAACGCATTTACCCATTGGGATTTATCTCCTTCAAGAATAATATATTTTTAAAAAGTATTGTTTTGACAATTCTTTTTGCGTTTGACACCCAAAATATTCGTCTGTCACCTGCTTTCCGTACCCAACAGACAGTGGTCCGTTACAGAATGCCCTATTGAGTTCACAGTGAACTTTTAACGCATTATGTGTTTGTGTTCTCGCTGCCAGCCGTACCACGTCAACGTCGGGTACCTGCCGGACAACGACCCGACCCACGGCAGCGCGGACCCCAGGCACGGTCGCGGTGACCGCCGGGAGCCGCGGCGGGGCGAACACAGAGATCCACCGCGGGACGACTACCGGGACCCGCCTCGCGGAGACAACAGAGACACCCGTCGGGACGACTACCGGGACCCCCCACGCAGAAACAATCGGGAGGATCGACGGGATGACTACCGGGACCCCCCACGTAGAAACGACCGACAGGACGACTACCGGGACCCCCCACGTAGAAACGACCGACAGGATGACTACCGGGACCCCCCACGCAAAAACAATCGGGACGATCGTCGGGATGACTACAGAGAGCCTCCACGCGGCGACACTCGGGGTGGTCGACGGGATAACTACAGAGAGCCCCCACGGGACGACTATCGAGACCCTCCCCGAGCGGACAACTGGGATGCGCGACGGGGCGACATCAGTGATCCGCCGCCTCAATACGAAGCAGCCCCACAAAGCAACGTGCGAGCAGTCCCCCACGCGAGTGCCCCCCACACGAGTGCCCCCCGCACGAGTGCCCCCCACACGAGTGCCCCCCACACGAGTGCCCCCCATGTGAACGTCGCAGTCCCGGCAGCGTACGTCCACCAGCCGCCGCCGCTGAATGCTGCCAAGAAGGAGCAGAGTGAGTTGTGCTCAATCGCGATGGGGACGAGGGGTCCACGGTGAGACGTCGTCCCAGCCAGGGGGCGTGCGTGACGACTTCGAGTACTTTTACCACTCAGGAATGAAAGCTGTCAGATTAGATTTGGGTTACCGGTTTGAACCGGTTAAGTTAATTTAACATCCCAATCTGTGCTGTCAGCTGCTGTTTTGCTAGCTGCATGTTACGATGACGTAAAAAAATAAACGTTGATACGGCACTATTTAATGCTAACCTATGGGGCTTGCATTGACTGTTTTATCTACTGAATAATCTGGTATTATCTACAGCACGATAGACTGCATTAACTGGGTGTGCATTAAATGCATTGGAGGAATTGATAATACTTTTATCCAGATAACACTGCGGAGATTGAGCGATGAAATCTGCTCATGAGCAAAAGCTAAATGGCTTTTTTCATCATGAGCCCATCAGGCATGGCAGAAACTTGGTGTGGCCTTCATCCAGCCGTGGATAGATCAGTTCATGGCTGTTGATGACCATGAATGGGGTGTTGTGAATACGTATAGACAGCGCTGTGTATTCTAGATTTGAAGCTTTCGTGACTGCAAGGATTCATACTCTTTGGTTTTATTCGGTAAAGTCACGTAGATAAAATAAAACAAAATAAAACAAAATAATTAAATCACAGTGATTTAAATAAAACCAGAGAGCGCTGTGTATGCATTTCTCTGCACACAGTTAATTAAAAATGCAATTCTGAACAATTTCTGACAGTATACTTTGGGGGAAACCCCCATCAAACAGCCATATACATTTTACATTTGACCGAATCCTGTTTTAAAATAAAAAATGTTATAACCCATGGGTAATTCCCAAAGTGAACTCTGCTGTGATTGCAGTAGTAAAGCACTTTTCACTGCTGCTACAGTCTGAGACACCATGACCCGTGACTTAATTATTCAGGTCGAACAACTTGTGTAACTTACGGATTTGAAAGAGTCACCCTTAGGAAACCACGAAACCGTAGCTTTTGAAAGCTTAATCCCTGGGGAGTAGGGGGGGGGTGGATGTTGCTATTAATAGAAGCGGCTCCAGCAGAGTCTTTGAGCAATTGGGAAATACAGTACAGTACAACTCTTTCTTGTCTCCGTGATAGAGATGGGGGGGGGGAGAACCATGTAATTCACAGAAGCATAATTGTGGATAATGGGGTGGATTGAACCCCCGAGTGATTTGAACTCTATGACGGTTGAGCGCTGTGCTCCATCGTCACCCAGATAATTGCTCACGACGATGCGGCCATAGCTACTATGATCCGTGAGTCCGCCCATCCACATTGGCACGTGACTCCCAGTGTGGTGTGATTGAAAAACCACCGCGTGTAAATTCTCAAAGCTTAAAAAAATTATGCACAAATCAACATCGCTCCCAACTTCCAACATTTAAAAAGTCCAGAGATTTGGTGAGGCTTTCCAGGATGAACAACAAGCACGTCGTGTTGTTCTTGGCGTTGCCTGTGTGAACGTTGGAGCGTGTGTGCACGTGTGCACGCGTGTAGGCAATTGCTGCCTGACTCGACGGACGCTGATCATTATCGCCATCGTCGCCACGGTGTTGATCATCGCAGGAGTTTCCGCGGCCGTGGCACTCATACGTACGTATACGCTCACAAACCATGGGTTCACGCGCACGCCAGGTTAACGCGTGTAGTGCACATGAAATGGGGCTATAACACCACTGGGGAGAAGCGTAGGGATGCGTAGTCCCGGCTCGCTGCGCTGCACGTTAATCATAAGCAGTGCAGACAGAGCAAAGGGGGGACCCTGCCGGCCATACGACTCCTGGGCGTGAGGATAGGCGGGAAAGGGGAGGCTCGTGGGGACGAGTCACGTGACACGGGTCAGCTGAAGGAGTAAATGAAGCAATTGGTGGGACCCCGGGGTCCCATCGCTGCCCCGGGGTGGGAAAAACCGCGTAGCGACACGAGTCTTGCCTTACCGACAACAAAACTAGTGTCAATCGATTGGCCTCTTCGAGAGCTACTCGGGGCACTAAGTTTCGTAAAAAGTTGAAAAATTACATAAACACGTTAAATTCACTGCGGGGGCGGGCTCGCCTTGGCAAAGAAGCTGAGGATCGACGGCTGACCGGAGGGCGTTGTCGCGTTGCTGTCGGGATCACGAGTGGGCGGACTGAAAAATAATAATTGTTGACCTGATTTTTGCGGGACCCCAGGGTCCCGCCAAATGATTCAAATGGTCAATTAGGACCTGGCAATAGCAGGGAGCAGACGTGCTTTGGAGTGGCCTCTGAGTGAAGCCAAAGATCATAAATCAGGGGTAAGAGTTAAGTTGCGTTATTTATTAATTTCAATATCCCTGATCCATATTGTTATTGCTACTTAAACCTGACACTTTATTGTCCTTCCCTGCACCTCCTATTTACACGGATCGCTACATATGGTGTGAAAGAAGTTCAACATACATAGTTATTGAAATTTTTCAGCCAATATGGGCCTTTAAGGTGTGTCTGAACTCTACTTCAGTAGTTAGTGCAAGTAAATATGACACCACACGCACAACCCTCACCCACGGAGACGGAGGCACTCTCGTGAGCTTGTACAGACAGGGATGAGGTCGTAGGCACTCGAACCGTCGTGTGAATCCAACTGTGTGGAGTGATGAGTGTTGTCCCCTCCGATGTGTGGGTCTTCTCCAGACACTACGCTTTCTTCCCAAACGTACATCGATATAATTTACCCAATAACCCAAAAATGCAGGACCCTCCTGAAAAAGCTTTTGAGACTCCAGAGTCGAAGGCATTGATATGATTATTATTATTGCTGTTGTGTGTGTGCATGAACTATCTGCATACGATCAGGCACAGTGGTTCGGCCAGCTCTTTGGGGGCCCTAGCAAACACATATTTTTGGGCATCACATGACTACTTCGGGATAAGCGGCGTAACAATGTAATGCACCAATTACAATGATAATTATTTTAGAACTGCCATTGAACATTGTGATTGGTGCACCCCTATTATTTTATGAACTTGAGCTACTGGGCTGGGGGGCGTCCCAAGCTCTGGCTTGCTTTGTTTTTGCTGAGCCTCTCCACTGTACAGGTTTCACTTCCTTGTAAGAATAAGAGAATACAATAAATAATCTCTTGCCTGAGGCTAAACTACGGTTCGTGACACGATCCCAAGACAGCTGCACGGGCATGCCAGGCGAGTCTTGTGGCTAGACCACCCTCGGCCAAAGCAGCCATGTCCTCTGCTTATTTTGTTAAATAATTATTACCCTACCCTGGATGGCAGGAACAGGATCTGCACGTACAGGGTAACTGTTAATTTGCTTGGCGATTTCAAAAGCAGTTTGCATTTACACGTGGGCCCAGGGGGGGTCTCCTCTTCGTCGTGTATTTGCTTGCAGTGAGAACTTGTTTTTTGCGTAAGAATGTGGCATTGGGCAAAGTTGCATGGTGCTCAGGGGCGACTCTTCCATATAGGCGAACGAGGCGGTTGCCGAGGGCGCCAAGTTGAGTGGGGCACCAAATTCGAGGGGAAAAAATAACGAAGATGTCATTATTTCTATTCCCGTACAGAGGGAATATGAATTATAATTAACTTCTCAACATTTCTGAGAACAAATACCGTAATTCGAACTGAAATATATCGTCTAGCTGTCGTTTACAAATCTCTTCTGAAAATGTATCTGTACAGATGGATGGACAAACCGAATAATTATGCCTCTGTTTAAAAAAAATGGTTAAAAAAACATGAAATGTAAAATAGGGGCAAAATGTTTCCCAGTTTACCAAAATAAACCTCAGCCTAGGTCTGCCCCTGGGGTTTGGGGACATTTATTGCATGGTTCGCCCTCGGGCCCCAGCTGCTGGCAGCTAGTCTAGGGCCACCCCTGATGGTGCTCGCCCTGAAACACATTGTGTCGCCCACTTTGCGTTGCTTGTCACCTGTAATAAGCATCCTCAAGCAGAGGGTTCGTTAGTTTCAGACACGTCTTGGGTTGCAGCTGTATTTCGATGCTATATCAACTTGTATTGTAGTATGACCGGGTAAAGGCATAGTTGTGCAGTGTACAGGCGGTGCAGCTGCACCTGGGCCAACGGACCGCAGCAGCCCATACGCCGGGCATCGAAGAGCAGGGAGATTTTTTAAAGGGGGCCCCCATTTCATTGCTAGCACCGGGGCCCCATGCTGGCCAGGCTACGCCACAATCACCAGACTAAACAACGTGTGTGTTTGCGTGTGTGCAGTGCTGAAGGATCCGTGTCAGTCCGACTCTGTTCGTTGTAACGGAGTCAGAGACTGCGTCAACGGCACAGACGAGCAAGGATGCGGTAAGGAACAAACCACGCTCGGGGCTACACCGAGCACACACTGGTGCGGTGTGAAAACACCAGCAATGGGGGACAAAAGCGGCCCGGCGTGGTACTTGCCACGCAACCCACTCGTGCGCTTTGCCAGCCTTCATAGCTGCCCACTACCAGCACTTGCCCCAACAACCCGCACAGGCTGTACATAGGGATCTTTGTCTTTGTGTGGAGAGCAGCACGCAGCAGTGGAGATCAAGCGTACCTGCAGGTGTGGAACACGGCAGCCGGCGTGTTTTCCATGGTGTGTGTCGAAAACTTCACAAGCGCCTACGCCGAGCAGGCCTGCGTGCTCATGGGATACGACAGGTGACGCTCAACGCAGGATCTCGCGCACACCCACGCTGCCCTTCAACCCACAGGGCGAGCGGGTACCACACCACACACGAACGCAGTGCTATCTCGCAACACCGCAGGAGCTCACGGGGATGGCACGGGGAAAGAACACCGCCATTGTGTTGCGAGCCACATTCGATGGCTTTGGAATCATTAATTAGCTGCGATTTGGAGATTTTCTGCCATTCTATGTGAAGCGTGCCGTGTTGTGTGCGGTTTTTAATTGTTTTTGCGCGTGTGGTTGTAGCCGCGGTTCTGTCACGTGGAGTTCGATCGCCCCTTCGGCGGGGGCTGTTGTCGCCGTGAGCAACGGCGCTGCTGACAGTGCCAACCTCCAGCTCGTCTACGCCCCAAGGTCATCTCGACGGCGCGACTTGCACACACCCCGCTTCTTCTTCTCCTCCTCCTCCTCCCCCCTCCTCCCCCCCCCTCCCCCCCCCCCCCCCCCCCTCCCCCCCCTCCCCCCCCCCCTCCCCCCTCCCCCCCCCCCCTCCTCCTCCTCCCCCCCCCCTCCCCCCCTCCCCCCCCTCCTCCTCCTCCTCCCCCCCCCCCTCCCCCCCCTCCTCCTCCGCCTCCTCCTCCTCCTCCTCTCGATGCCTCCTCCTCCTCTCGATGCCTCGTTGTTCGCGACCGTGGGGGCGCCCCTGGCCGAGCCGCCCTTGTGCGGCGTTGCTTTGTGAAAGTTTCTTCCAGTGTCGTCTTCTTCACTGATCCGTCTCCACTGCTTCCTGCTCTGGTCTCTAAACTCACGGTCCCAGCTGACACGCAGTCTACCATGGTCTCTTGAGCCAATCTACTCGTCATTCCAGCACTGCGTGCTTTTAGCCTTTGTGGGTTTCTTTATGTGTCCCTAATGTTGGAGCTTCAGTCTCTGGAGTATTTCTAAGAGTCTTGTTAAAGTGCTGGAAGTACTCAATACCACCACGTGGTAGGTGTTTTTCAAGTGATGTAACAAAAATACCCTTGGTATTTCATTATATCTTACCGAATGCTAAAAAAAATGATCCTTTGTCCATTGCTGGATGAACGTGTTGGTCATAGGGTGTGGTGTTGTTTGACCATACCTCACCATGCTGGTAAACGTGGCGTGGTGAAGTGAGGGTCCCAGTATCAGTTAAGATCTCTCACTCACCACTGGTTGTTAGCCATGGCCAGGAATATGAATTGAGGTGGCCAGGTTCATAGAACAGTTCATAAACCACTGCATCATTGTTCCACCCATTCTATTTAGGGGTTAGAGTGAATTAAATGTTTCTTGATAATGTGACGTGGCCTTGATTACACCATAATTAATGTATCCCCTCTCTCTTTCCACAGCAATTGCCCGGGTAATGTCGTCAGCATTTCGTGCCTAGGTGAGTTCACGTTGCACGTTAAATGCGGCGTTTTATATGTTGTGTGTGTGTATATATAGAATTTGTTTTTTTATATATAATTAAATTGACTTGCCGATGACCGGACCCAGCAGTGTCAAAATTGGGCTCTTTGGAGTAGCGACGCCACTGCAGGAGCAACTATATCAAATAATACGGACGACACGTCAAATATCTTAGAAACGTTCCACAGTGACCACGCACACATGACAGTAAAATGAAAAATGAGTTAAAATCACTATCTGGCTGGACGTATACTATTCCACCCTTGCTTATAAGCCTGTGTTCGTGGTGAACGTGGTCGTGTGTTTGCATGTGGCGTTTGCGTTGCCGTGTGTCACTGCTCGTGCACCGTGGGGTCGTGGCGTTCACGCGGCGTGTCCGCACGCGGCATGAATGCGCGGTGTGTCCGCACGCCCGCGTCGTGCGCCTGGGAGGCCGCGTATCGTGCATTCCGCTGTCCACACGCAATGCTCTCCATCGCTCGGGCCACCTGTGGCAGAGTTCTTCTGTTTGACGGGCCCGTAAAGGCCTCTTGGCGGTGGCCTGCCGGGAGATATGGCCGGCTGAGACTTAAAGCTACAGATAGTGAGATGCAACAGCGGTAAACAAATTTCAAGAGAACTTTAGACAAAAGTTTCAGTGGGGACGACAGTGAGGTGAAAGCGAGATCGACGAGAGAGAGAGAGACTGTCGAGTCAACGAAGCCTGCTCTGTAGCGTTGCTGCATGCTCTCGTGTGGTGTGCGCGCGTGCCTGTGCTCAGCGTGTGGGTCCAGCATCAAGAGCACCTCGCGCATTGTCGGGGGGCAAGATGCACAGTTGGGCTCGTGGCCGTGGCAAGTCTCGCTGCAATTTAACGGCCAACACACGTGTGGCGGGACGCTTCTGACCCCCACGTGGGTGCTCTCTGCCGCCCACTGCTTTCAGGGGTGAGTGTTCGTCCGGCGATGTGCTACACCCGGCCCCGGCGCTACCGCGCCGCTCGCGAGCACTGGGGTCGCCGTGATGTGACCTTGCGATAAGTCGTATGATATACGACCCACAGTAATAACATTTGTCCGTTTTGCACGATATCGTCACGGGGCGATTGTCTTGCGATTGTCTCGTCGCTCGTCTTAATTATCGAAAGTGTGTGTTTTATCCTCCTGACGAAAGATTCATGAAACGGCGAAGACAATCTTTAAAGTTATAAATAAATAAATACGTATTACCCGGGAAATGTGTGCCTTAAAAAACTTGTTTGGAGTTATTCAATGTAATGGTAATTGACATAATTTTTTTATTGGGTTTGATCATTTTTTTTCTGGTGTTGCTAGCAGCGCGTGCATTTTAAGTGCTGAAGATTGTGAAGTTCTGAAGGTTGAGAGACTTACAGCCGCAGGCTTATGCTGAGCAAGCTGCAGTGTAGAATCTGATGAGCAATAATTATTTGCACTGGAAGTACAGCACTGAACCAAATAAACACGCTTAAGTCAACCCAAGTTCCAACTTGCAGCATGCACCACGACACGAACTTGCCTTATTTTTTTGCTTGTTATTTCCCCCAGTTGAATCCACCCCCCCTCCCTCTTGTGTCGAGGCGGAACTCCGAGAAGTTAATTTCACGCCCCGTGTCAGGGACACTCTTGAAGGCCGCCGTGGGCTCGGGTAGCTGGTGCGATAGCAACGAAGCAACTGTCTGCTCGTGCAATACGCAGGGCGCCAAGGCAGTCCCATTTAATCTGATTGTTTTGTTATATTATGCGCCATTATTATATGTATTTCATATGTAACGTAAAGGATTGCACTGGCAGTGGTGTACAAGCACAGGCCAAAAAAAACATCACCGCCTGTAGTTTTTAGCAAAGATTTGCAGTGTTTTGCTGCCAGGAATGTGGATGCTCGGGTGAGTTCTATGGAATACAGGCGAGGGATTGTTCATACGGCCATAATTGTGTTCAAAGAGGGGAAGGGATGTGAGATGCCATATTGGAGGAGGGGATCGGGTATGGTCGGTTCTGGCTCGAGATGTTATCGGTCTCTCCTGAGGTAAAGCGTGTGCCAAGTCTTCAGAGTGTGAAGGATTGAGGCATTTGTGAGCTGGACAGTGCGGTGTGTTCAGAGAAGGCTGGGAGTGGCAGGCCGACGCTGCTAAACTTTAGAATGCACCACTGGCCCGTCTACCTGCATTCCTGGAGATGCACTGTGTGCGGACGATAATAATGGTTACCGCACTAGGGAGGTGTGCATGTTTGACCAGCGTTCGTAACCATACATGTGTATTTATGTATGTTGAACTTTTTTCACACTGTACGTATCCGACCATGCTAATTGGAGGTGGAGAAGGACAACAAATTAAGCACAATAAGCAATTCTAAATAAAAGTGTGTACGTGACAAAAAATATAACAGTGACATTGCAAGTTTAACAGTAACATACAGAACCTCTAAAATGGGGACTTTTTGCTTCTCCATGTGCCATACGACAGTGTAATAAGAGCAGCAATGTACACGTGCGCACGCATTACGTACGCACGCGTGCGTGCACAAACATTGCCGTCCGTTCACATTGCACGCACAAGTCCCGCGCGGTCGGCAACGACGCACTCGCGACAGACGAGGTCGTTCCCTCCGCCGGCGCTGGGGGAGGGGGGGCGGTGCACGGGCGACGGAGTTTGGCGCCATGCTCGTTGGGCCGAGAGAACCCACGCCGATTAATTACCTCGGACCCGACATGTGGAACGTAACGTGAAATATGCATTGCGCATCAAAAGAACGCGAGAAAGGTCGCATCTTCCCCGTTCGGTTGTTCACAGTACGTTGATTTTGGTGTCGCGTTGAAGCATTTCGTTAAGTCCCAGTGAAATTCCCTGCTCCAGGCTGGGGATCCATATCCTAGAGTAGAGGTGGGGACAGTCCGGCCTGTGGGCCATGTAAGGCCCGCAAAATCATTTGGTGTGGCCCTGTCAAGGCAACTGCAGGCGGGACTCGAAATTCAATAAATCTAGGCGCAAACCTGGAAAAGCAGTTGCGAGTAGCAACATCGTCAATACCGGCTAACATCATCAATACCAGCTAACATCATCAATACCAGCTAACATCATCAATACCGGCTAACATCATCAATACCGGCTAACATCAATACCGGCTAGCATCATCAATACCAGCTAACAACATCACCCGCCTCGCCAAAGAGAAGCAGTTGCAGCCATCATATTAGGGGTGAGTTAACTAAATGTTTGACCAAATATAACAGGCTAATTTTAAATTTGATAATTTTGTATGGCCCGCGAATGATGTTATAAATATCCAAATGGCCCTTGGCAGAAAAAAGGTTCCCCACCCCTGTCCTAGAGGGTGACCTCACCTCGAACCTCGCAGGCAGTTCATCAGCATTAATTCAAGCTAACCACACTGCTGATTAAACACTATATCAAAACGGCTCAAGAGTTTGCTGGTCTTGAAACAATGGTGCTGAAGTTATGCACTCCCAGAAGGCTGTGGGGCCGATCTTGAGAGGGTGAACCCTTTCTGTGTAGGAATCCATGCAATGTAGATTATACCACTGTTGGTGGAAAGTACGTGAACGTAATGAACAAAGAGACTTTTGTTTGAAGCAAATCTTTCTTTGCGGATTTAAAAAAATTTGCAGCCATTTGTGAATTTACTCAATTATGCAACTCTCCACATGTTTTAATCATTGTGTCGTTTGACCATATTTCACCATGCTGAACTGGATGGTGCACATTGGTGATGGGTGGAGGCCCAGCACTGGTTAAGACATCACTCGCCACTGATAGTTGTCGTGGCTCGGAATTGAACTGAGGTTGCTGGGTTTCTTGCGAAATTCCATGAACACTGCTCCTCCACCTCAGGAGTTCATGGAACTTTAATACAGCCCCCAAAGAAACCTGGGTTTTTGCATTCGTTATTCATCCAGTGGTCACAATCCAGCACGGATACAAATTAATTCCATCATGTGCTGGGCATCCAGATTCTTAATAATAATTGTATATACATGTGGGGTCTCCTCTTCTTCCCCTGTGGATGGGGGGGGGGGAGGGGGTGAAGCCCCTACCATTTTATCAATGTAAAAAAGTTTCTCAGCTGGGTACTCAGAAAATGTTTTATTTTAACGCATTCATTGCTCTGTTCATGCACGCGCTAGTTGGAAGCTTGATGTTTGTGTGTCTGGTGCGGTGTGTTGCAGGGTTATGGCGGTCAGCGATAGCTGGCAGGCGAACCTGGGCATCATCATTCAGCCCGGCTCCAAACCCTACAGCATCTCCAAAATCATCACCAATTCGCAATACGTGGACAACACCAACAACGACTATGACATTGCCCTCGTGAAGCTCAGCAAACCCTTGAGCATGAGCAACAGTGCGTGTCCTCCACACTGCGGCACAAACTCGCCAAATCCGCGGACACGCACGAACTCTTCGCGATCGGCTGAACACCTGTGCAAAGACAAAAGACAGACCCGCACCTCCCCCTAAAACAGCTGTACAGACTGTTGGAAGACAGGTGCTATTAACGGGCACCAATTAAATTTGGCACAGAGTATGAGGTGGTGGTGGTGGTTTGGCCAGCGCCATGCTCAGCTGTGGTTGTCTCTCCATTACTGGTGTTCGCGCATTGCACCAGGTACTCATTTAAGGCCAAGTCGACCTAGGAGGAGGGGGGGGACCTTGGGACCGTTTCAGATAATCATCACTGACCTTTATCCGTGGTCTGGAATCGTACTGGGGTCGCCGGGTTGTGCAGCACGTTGCACTTGTTATTAAGCAGCCACTGTCCACTGTGTGTGTGTGTGTGTGCACCTGCCCTGGTATGCGCACTCGGCGCCCGTAGTGTTTGCACGATCACCTTGCCGAGTTGGTTGGTTGTGGTCACTGTATTGTATTCGCGTATTTAAGTGCACTGGACTAATGTTGTCGTTTTTGGTTGCTGTGTCGTAGCGATCGGTCCAGCTTGTTTGCCAAACTACCAAACGGACTTCCAAGTGGGGATGAACTGCTGGATCACAGGGTGGGGTGCCACAAAGGTCTCAGGTAACGTGGTGTCTTTTCCTCACTAGACCACCTTCACTTCCTTGTGCACTCGCGGGCATAGCGGTTAGTGCACTGTGCCCACGGGGACCCACGGGGGCCCACAGATAGCTGGGGCCCATGGGGCCCACGAAGCCAAGCAAGGCTGAAAGTCTTTTATGTTGAGGCCAGAGTCAAGGCCAGTCGAGGGATGATCCTCCAGGCTGAACATGGCTCATGATGATGACTCGTTTGTGTTACGGTGCGAGGGCATGTGCTGATCTGTATTTGCTTGGATGTGTGTGCTTTTGTGTGACATGCAGGTCCTGCTTCGACGACTCTTCAGGAAGTAATGGTGCCGATACTGAGCACCGAAACATGCAACGCCGCAAACTCTTACAATGGGCAGATCACGTCGCGCATGGTGTGCGCCGGCTTCATGCAAGGAGGCCAGGATGCATGCCAGGTAACGCACGAGCCACCAGAACGCTGTCCACCCCATGGGGCATCTACACATTCCACATGCACGCACATAAGCGGCCTACGGTACACACGCGTCACGGCGGATTATCAGTATCATCCGCCATGGTGAAATCCACTGCTAGATGAACGCATTCCCATGCCAGCACCGTCTCCTGCTGGCCTGCGATGTAGTTATCCAAGCAGTACGCGCACATGAGCTGGATTTCCTCTCGGGCGTGAGATCCATTCCTCAGCGCTGCTTTTTGACCCTTCGACCATAATCTCTTCTCACCGCTCATCATGAACAGGCCCACTTATTACACCTTTTAACCTGTGTATTGTCTATAATTCAAAGGTTACTCATGTCTCTCAATGCATTTCCAAGTATGTGGTAGATTGTAGGCAATAAAGGTAACGAGACAAAGGTCTGCTTCACCACTGAAAACGAAACGTTGAATTCAGCCTATGGGCGTTCCTGGCTAAATTTTTGCAGAAGCATGCGTACCGGTTTAGACATTCCGAGCCTCCTCAGCAGTCGGACCTGCTGGGTTGTGTGCCGCATTTATTAGGTTGGGATCCACGTAATCTATGGGGCCCGTTTAGCGTAAAAGAGAACAGCAGTTCAGAATTGGTGGTGGGGATTCATCTTCTTTGGTTCTTTCGGTAAAGTCACGTAGAATGAGAATAAAATAATGAAATAACACAATAAAATTCTCACGACGTTTCGGCCACAACACAAGCGGCCTTCTTCAGGTGAAAGGAACAAACCTGTCGGGACGACAGAGCTTCAATGAACACTGTTAAGATTAACAGTGTCTTTTAAGCTGGTTGAGAGAAGTGAGGCACCTTGACAAAGGGGTTTACATATCAAACAGGAGAATTTAGCATTGAAATAGCTGAGTGATTAGCTTGTGACTGGTCACAGAAATGGCTATGTTAAAGTCAAAGCCTACACATCCACAGAGGCACCTAGTACAAATCAAACAGGAGAATTTAGCATTGAAATAGCTGAGGGTTAGCTTGTCACTGGTCTCAGAAATAGCTATGTTAAAGTCAAAGCCTACATATCCACAGAGGCACCAGTACATGGACGCCAAAGGGGCTGCAACAACTCAACTATCATACAGTAAACCGATGTGAAAAACCTAAGTCTAAATTACATCAATATAATAAATGTACGCTGCGAATCTTAACAGCGTTCATTGAAGCTCTGTCGTCCCGACAGGTTTGTCCCTTTCACCTGAAAAAGGCCGCTTGTGTTGTGGCCGAAACGTCGTGATCATTTTATTGTGTTATTTTATTTTATTATTTTATTCTCATTCTACGTGACTTTACCGAAAGAACCAAAGAAGATGAATCCTTGCAGTCACGAAAGCTTTAAATCGAAATGGTGGTGGGGAGTCCGTATACTCTGGTGTTTGTCATCATCATCATCATTAGCCATGATCTATCAACAATTCAATTACAGTAACACCCCGGTTTACACCCTCCTGCTTAACATACTCAACTTATTGAAACCAAATCCCATTTTATGTACTGTGGTACCTCGCCCTAACGTACTCGAGATTTACAAACTTAACCATTAAGCCCCACATTGTTTACGTTCCTCGGCAAACATTCAGGCGCCAGATGTCCAGAAGCGCCAAAGCAAGCATTAGCGTCCCTGACTGTTTCTCGGTTATTTCCCTGTCTCTCGGTTATTCCCTGACTGACTCTCAGTTATTTCCCTGACTGTCTCTCGGTTATTTCCCCGACTGACTCTCGGTTATTTCCCCGACTGACTCTCGGTTATTTTACGTGTACTCTTTTAATATTTCCCCCCCCCCCCCCACATACCGTATTTAATGACATTATTTCTTATGGGGAAAAATGCTTCCATTTAGGTACTTTTGATTTACGTTCTGGTTTTCTGGAATGCATCCTGGGCCTAAACCGGGGTATGTCTGTTCCTCAGCATGAGCCGATTTCATTGCTCAGTGTCAATGGTTGACATTCCACTCCGTCGACTCAGATGTTCTTGATCTCATTCGTGGTTGTAGAGTGTGGTCACTTATTCATAGACAAAGAAATTAAGCAGGCTTGGGGCAAGTGCTGTTATTGAGAACCTATGAAGGCCGGCACGACACACGAGGGGCTGGGTTGCCAGCACCATGCCCGGCTGCCATTTGGCTTCCTCGTGGCGATGTTTACACACTGCACCAGGTACTCATTTGATGCGGAGTCGACCTAGGGTAGACCCAGGCAGGACTGGTTAAAAAATCGTCACTGGTGTTGGCCGTGAGAAGGATTCAAACTCAGGTTGTCTGGTTCGTAGTGCAGCGCGCTATCCACTGCACTATCGCTCCCCACATCGAAAGTTAAAACTGGTCCGGAGTTTGCCGGCTTAAAACAAATGCAAAGAGAAGTGGTCCAAAAGGCCTTTAACTGCACCGGTGTAATACAATGTGTTATGTATCCTGTGTGTGCTGCAGGGAGATAGTGGAGGCCCTCTGGTATGCCAAACCGGTACAACCTGGTTTGTTGTCGGGGCCACCAGCTTTGGGGAGGGATGCGCACTGACCAATTTCCCTGGAGTATATTCCCGCGTCACGGCGTACCTTGACTGGATACACGGAACAATGCAGGCAAGGCACACAGTTCACCCAGCACATCGGTGCACCGTGTGATACACGCATCCCACTCGTCCTCACTGACTCTGCACCCCACACCGCATGGCACGCGATGCCACCATTCGTGAAGACACCATGGAGAGCTGTCAAACGTCACAACGCAGCACAACACAACCTTCCGACCACATGACACGCATCTCATGCCACGTGCTAGGTGCTTAGCTACTGTGTACATGACGTGTGCAAATGTGTTAATGTTTTTAACATGCGTGCTTTGCATGTGTACTGCTTCCAGTTTATAGTTTATATTAAAACCCTGCAGTGGGATAAATGTAAAAAAATACTCGACACATTAGTCAATAACACTGTGGCCTTAAAAGGCATAACAGGTAATTGGTGACATTTCTAGAAATTAAATTTCTAGAAATTAAATTTCTGGAAATGTCACCAAATAATTTGGATAGAGAGATGCATTTATATACCATATAGCAGTTCACCAGCTGCTTGGTCTGGGACTGTAATCCTTTTGTATGGTAGATGCCTCATTGCACGCGTGTGTGTACAGTGTACATTGTGCTTGTATTTGAATACACGTATAATAATTGTTCCTGTTATACTTTCAGGAAGGTAACTGATTCTACAAACGGCAAGAGGAGGGGACTTTACATCCCGTCGCCTCGTCAGGCCTCGCCCGTTCAGCGCTGGGATCACTTTGCCTGGCCACGTTATTCTTCACCTGCTTGAATCCTGCTTTGGTCCTGCCTGCCACGTTTTTTCTTGCCTTATCTCTCGTTGCCTTATCTCTCCTTGCCTTATCTCTCATGCCTTACCGTACTGGGACTTTCCCTCTGACCCATTGGCATTGGATAATTGGCATGAGCCCTATGCAAAAATGAAATGGGGCTCCCTGCTCAATTGGCGTCTCTCCTTTGTAGCTCGGCACCTGGGCCTCTCCAGCCCCTCGGAAGCCCGGTTCAGTTGCAAAGCCGTTTGCATGCTACTCGATAGCTATGCCACTGCTTTGACACAACATGTGCTTATAGATGTGTGTTGGTGTGTGCGCGCGCATACGCACCCATCTCCATTATTCCTACTCGTGCTATACAGTTATCAAGTCCACGTTTTTGCGCCAGATTTTTGTTTGAGGACGAAACCTAAATCTGTTGCAATAACTATACACGTTAGTCGCACACCCTTGCATATGCAGCACAGTCGCAACAAGCCTGGTAAATGCCAGTCGCATCGATGTCCGTGCACCTTAGTCGGACGCTGGACGGCCGCGCCCTTTACCATCAAATGAAGAATCTGCAGGTACCCAAACATTTTAGTAGCTTGCAATACGAGCGATGTTCAAAAAGTTTTTTATTTAAATAAAAAACACATTTAATGATTTACACTTTTTATTTTACAAGCGTACGAGTTAATTCGATTTTGAGTGCTGCAGTCAACAGAACAGTTGTTTCCTTGGCGTGGAGTCAAATGTTGAGACTCCTGTCTCTTCTGACCCATCTGGCTTTGCTCAGGACATGGTCATGCCGTTTTAAATGGTTTGGGCCCTAGACTAAAAGGTTGTCACAGTTTTAATCTGCCTGTGATCCTGACCTGAACTGCAAAAACACACGTTCTCATAAGATTGTTTTTTACTTTATAGCGATTCTGCTGAAACGCTTCCACGTGTGTGTGTAAGGGTTTTGTATTCCGTCGCTGCTGTTACACGGCGCACTGACCATGGATAGTTTTTGTAGCTTCAAGGTGCAACTGCTTGACATGTGGGTGTCGCTGTGCAGGCCGTGACGATACAAACAGGACTATAAATCGTCTTTAACATCGCAGAACATTTAGCAAGATGCAGGCAATGCAAATGTAAAAAATTATATATGGCATCATTGTGCTTATCGGAGCAGAAGTCAAACTAATGAAATCATTTCATCATTTTGTCTGATTGTCAATCTTGAAAAAAACCGTGTATATTTAGTCTACATTAATTAACATCTTTATGATTTTAATTGACTTATGAGTCACGCTTTTTTTGTGAGTGGCGTACTTGGTTGTTAGTGAGATACAAATCGCCAATCTGTAAAGGCGTGGGTTTAGGACCAAGGTGTTATCGGCATCATTTCTTCGATTCACAAAGAATTGGGCCAGACGACCACTGAGTTGCCCGATCAAGAAAAAACGAATCCGGGAGTGATCGCAAATCACTCAAACATGGCACCGTATATTGGTTGACGTTTTAATTAACATTAAAATATATACAGATGAATCTGAAGTCATGTGAAGTCACTTATTAGACTGACGCGCAATGTATTTCAAACGTCGACGGTAGGACTGCGCTGTAGTTGAACAGCATGGCCCTTTTGTCAATCCGCTGCTGGATGAGGGGCCCCTCCCTCGAGCCGTGCGGGTCGTGGGGAGTTATTTAACCATACTTCAACCACGTTGGTCGATCGCCCATTCGATGCGTCTACGGAGCTTCAATTTAGGCCGCGCCAGTCAATTGTTCGTGAAAATTGGTGCAGTTAGCCAAATATATCACATGCTTGGCCCATGTTTTTGCCAAAATATCGGTCGATATTCTTTCTAAGACTTAATGATAATTGGACTTGAACTAGCAATTCTCTGCCCCGTGATGACAAGTTGTGCTTTCCCCGCACCTCCGATGAGCACGGTTGGCCACGTACAGTGCGAAAGAAGTCCCAACATACATACTTACATACTCAACCCATGTTGGCCTTCGTATTCGGCTTGTTCTGGCTGTTCAACAGATGAAGGCTGCCCCATTCACGGTCTCGAGCAGTCGCAGAATGTCGTGTATGGTGCAGCCTATCATACGCAAACAGCTAAGGGAATACTTAGTATGATGATGGGTGCTTTGCTATTTACTGCCTGATATGATTACACTGATGGTTTAGTGTCAAATTATTAAATTGTCCAGAGCTTTAGGCTGCTGCTGATTAATCTTATGGTTAATTCGGATGAAGGAAATTTTAATATAAGTATGCATTCATTATTTTCTCTTGCCAAGTGTGAAAAAAAATAACTTGATGAATTTGACTTAGAACGTTTTATACAATGTCAGTTTAATCTCGATGGTTATAATTTGTATTGCTGATTATTGATGCTTTTTTACATAAGGGATGTGTGAAAGTTATACCCTGGTGTTGTCGTTAAAGTTGGGTGCCAGTGACCATTTCGTTAAGTGTGTTTTTATTTGAAGCTCTCTTCAGCTTCCTCAAGGGTGGCACGTGGCCCATGGAGTGAATCGTTTGATATCCCCCTTTTGTTATAACTACCGCTCGTGCAATTATAAAACGGATTTTATCTTTCTGTTATGATTTACGCCTGTAATGTTTATTATTTTTTACTCTGCCGTGTGAGAACTACGCGTGTTAACGAGCTGTCGTCTCCACGAACGCGAATCTGTTGTGACGCGCGTGGAACCTCGTGGTGCCGGCATCGTGCACGTGCGAATCGATCCACGTCACTTGATGTCGCATGTGATGCTGGCTTTTGTGAAAAATGTGTTTCTGAAAATCCTGCAAGCACTGCAGATTGCACACGGCCCCGCACACGACATCGATACAAGCCTTGAATCGTGACTCCAAATACTGGCAATCGAATTGTGTGGGTGGGCAGCATCATTGTATCCCCCAATGGTGATAACGATGCAAACACCAACACGTGGGATTGTGCCATCAGGATTCTGTGTTCCCATTGGTGTGTTCTTGAAGGTGCCTCAATGTAGTTTCCACATCATTACAACATAACTGTTCTCTAAGGGAGTGAACACTCTCCCCAGGTTGGAAACCAAGTCTGACACGACTTCCACACAGATACGTGTACAAACACAGAGCAGATGTCGCGGTGGCGAGATGTTAACCACCTCGCCTAGTATACAGAAGGTCGGGTAATATCCCTACCCTGACGCCTGCTTTATATTTGGAGGGTGCATGTTCCTCCGTGTTCTCCGGTTTTTCCCTCCACATATAAACACATGCTTGAGTATGTGGCTGCTATACATTCCCACATTCGAAGCCACTATGTTGAGCTATGATTTGTGGGCAAGTCGCTTCTGAAAGAGCTTTAGTAGCTATGTGGTCCTTGCCTGATAAAACAACACTATTTTCATATTCACTTGGGTTGGGCTTTCGCTGTCCATTCCAATCCCTGCTGCTTCAGCTTTGAGTTGTGTAGGTCATGGGTTAGATTGTAGGGGCTTCATTCAGGGGTGACACTCGGGGTAAGAGGTTTAAGGGTTAGGGACAGGGGCGCCTAAGCCCGCTTTGCTCGCCGCACATCGACGGGGACAAGTTTCGCACCGCATGTAGCCAACCGTGCTCATCGGAGGTGTTCCATTAGTATTGGATAATCGGAGGTGCGGGGGGGAGGAACAAACTAAAGACAAAAAGCAGTTTTCAAGAAATGAGTTTACTCATCTTGATCGACCTGTACGGCTCCGGAATCTGCATGCGGCTCTTCGCGGACTGCTTTGTGACGTCATGTAAGTATGTAGCCACATGCTGCTCTTGAAATCTTGTTTTTTTTCGGTGAAGTCACGTGGAAGGGAAATAAAATAATAAAAATAAATACATAATAAAATAAAAATAGACATTTTTTTACCGAATTTTTAAAAATGGCTATTGTTATTTTGGTTGCCCCCTCCCCCCGACCCCTCATCTAGATTTAAGAGTGCACAGATCCCAGTGTGTTCCAGATATCGGAAGGAAGATCGTTCCAGGCCGGTCGCTCATCGGCTTCGCGGCTCGGCTAAATGCTAGCTAGATAAGCAACTATGTAAATGAAATCGATGGACGCCAATGGAAGTTGGGTGTGACGACCCCAGCCCGTGTATGCCAGTATAATGACAAAGATCCCCCGTATAGCTTGAATAGACGGTTGGGGCAAGTGCTGTTTAGTGAGCACCTTTGAAGGCCAGCACTGCACACGAGGGGGTGGGTGGACGACACCACGCCCGGCTGCCTTTGTCTCCCCAGTGGCGATGTTTACACACCGCACCAGGTACTCATTTGAGGCCGAGTCGACCAAGGGGAAGTCCATCACCGGTTCAGATAATCGTCCCTGGTGTTGGCCGTGAACGGGAATAGAACTCGGGTCGCCAGGTTCATAGCGCAGCGCGCTAACCACTCACCACCACTCCTCCCCACAGCATGATAAGCTCACACACACACACGTGCGCGTCTTGACGTTTACACGAGCCCCCCACTCCGCAGTGTTGTATTTCACGTCCGACCTGTGTCAGGATTCGTTCACGCGCATGTAAATGTCCTTTGTGCTTTTAAATGCTATATTGCAAAAACGATTATTGCTAATTATTATTAAAGGAACGATTTTACCCGGCCGTTAAGCCTGTCGTAATTAAGAGTGGCCAGAGTCGATAGCGATTGCCAAGCGCCTCGTGAGGCCTCGTGAGGCCTGGGGCTGGTGGGGTCAGCTCCGACCAGGTTGAGGTGAAGATTGGCGCCCTCCTCTTCAGCCATCGGCTCCTGCTGTTGTCTGCAGCTCGGCAGACAACCACGTGTGAGCACCTGGACAAACAAACAATGCCTTCTTAAGCCACCCTCTTCCCTACTGTGCTCGACATGAAGTTGCATTTATTTCCAACCGGCCACATTTGGCATCGTGTCGTGGGAAGAAGGCATTTCCATTTGGAACTCTTGACGACGAGAAAGTGGCGACGTCGCATTTTGTCTGAGAACAACACGTGGCAGATGTGTGTTCGCAGAATTGCTGCTGCTGAAGTCGCTTCAACCGGCGTCTTACCCCCACCCAACCGTACCTGGTGCACCCTGATGTTACTCCATACGCACGCCTCTTGTTAACCCATTGAGCGATGACGTCCTTGCTGTGCGGGTCATGGAGGGTGATTCGGTGAGTTGGGGTTTGTGAAGGCGCCGAGTCATCATCGGCGTTAGTAGAGGACAGAGGGCATCGTCACCCTCGTCATGCACCTGGCACTGGACAAACGCGTGACTGGTGGCAGAGCACGCACGAGACGACGACCATTTTGTTAAGACGAAAATATCACCCAAGAAGAGTGAATTGATCACATCATCATATCGCCGGCATCCACCAACTGTAACATTACCCAGCACTCCACACCGTGGAATAAGCCACGTTAGAGCCGCCACCCATTGCTGGCATTCCTCCATGGGACCTTTTAAGGGCAGCAAAGCCGTGCTTACGTATTGCCAAACGCTAAATAAAGCGTAGACGTCTCTCGAAGTATCCAGTCTGTTTGGCAGCTGTCCTTGTAGACGACGACGTGTCGGCAGGGTCATCACTAGACAACTCCGTGGGCTATAAATTGACACGTCGCGTCACTGGGCGACTCCACATTCAAGAGCAGGGATCGCTCGCTCAACGACGCTGCTGAAAAGACACCGCGCGTGGTCTGTGCACATAAACCTCGTTTCCCCTTGCATAATAATCACAACAACAACAAGATGTTGGTCGAGAGCAAGGCGTTGGATAATTTCCCACTGCTCATGTACATCCTCGCCGCCAAGTCTCTGCTGCTGTGTCTCGGCTTCGTGTGGGCCAAGAGCTACCAGCGCAAGCGGGTCGAGAGGCAGTTGAGGGAGAAGGTGCAGAAGAGAGAATAGTGGATGGAAGGACGCGAAAGGCGAGGTAAGCTATGGATTTGGGGCATTTCGTGCAGACGCGCAAGAGGGTTGCCATCTGTCCGGCTTTGACCCCGATTGTCTCAGGAGTTTGGCGTCTGTGGTCGCGTGCCAATAATTGATTTGTACTGACATCTGGTGGCGATGTGGTGTTGGAACTTTATTTCAGTTTGGTCTGTGAATAAGGTGGCGACCCGAATGTGCATGTCTTCGCAATATGAATTTATTGCTGTGTGAGTGTTTCCTAAACACTTTACGTGATTTAGGTTAACATTACCAGCGCATTCGTTATTTTGAAGTTGAGTGAAAATTTACCCTAATTATCTAAATACCTGTAGTGGCCATGGACGTCGCTGCGCCTAATCCAACACTGCGGGAGGCTAGGGTTGGTGGATCGCGCAGATGTCGTGAAACTCCCTTCCCGTGGGCATCGAGGAGACGCCACGGCTTGGCTCGACAGGAGAGGGCGGAACAGCAACTGTGGACAAATCTCAATTTGTTCCATCTGTGATTTGGATCGAGTGTTGCCTCCTCGCACGCGTATATTGTCCGGGTGCTCCGGCATACTCCCCCGTGTGGCTGACAACGTGTTCATATTTAGAAGGCGGCAGAGATGGGGGGGGAGGATTTGGTGCCGGCTAACTGCATTGTGAATCTGCAGCGGATTCACAATGCTGTGCGCATTAACATTCGTGAACTTACTCTGGTTCTTTACCTACGTGACTTTACCGAAAGAACCAAAGAGTATGGATCATTGCAGTCGCGGAAACTTCAAATCTAGAATTCGTGAAATTGTTACTGTATTTACATCATGGAAATCGGTGAAAAAAGAGCGTCATAGCACATTGGATTCCTCCAATCTAAATTAAGATTCTGATAATGTCCGTGTCATTTTACAGCCATTTGTTAATCCACTGCTGGATGAAGGCATCCTTACGTCGTGCGTATGGTGGCGAGTTATTTGGTCATGTTTCAGCATGCTGGCCAGGGCGCGTTGATGAAGGACGGAAGCATGGATATGGTGGCATAGATGTACATGAATGTTGCTTCAATGCCCCTGTTGCCCACCCACGTAGGCAACCCAGGGCTGGTTTGAAGCTTTCGTGACTGCAGGCATTACTCTTTGGTTCTTTCGGTAAAGTCACGTTTAGAAAGACAATAAAGTCAATAATAGAATACGACGTTTCGATTGCAACACAAGCAACCGTCATCAGGTAGAACTAAATTTGAGAAAGAGACACAACACACACACGGAGACACACAGACAGACACAACATAGACACACAGAGACTCAACACACACACGGAGACACACAGACAGATACAAGCAGAGAGAGACACAACACACACACGGAGACACAGACACAAGCAGAGAGAGAGAGACAACACACACACGGAGACACACAGACACAAGCAGAGAGAGACAACACACACACGGAGACACAGACACAAGCAGAGAGAGACACAACACACACACGGAGACACACAGAGAGACACAACATAGACACACAGAGACTCAATGCCTCTGTGTCGAGGCCTTACATAGAGAGAGAGAACCAAAGAGTAACCCAGGGCTGCTCGACGTTTCTCCGGATTATAAAAGACGCGCTTTTCCCTCTCGTATTAAAGGCATAGGTGAACAGTTTTGTATAACTTCATTGACACAGGGCATTCGTTTGGGGTTCGTCTTACTTTCCGAAGCGCCTTACAATCCAGAGAACACGGTAACAGGTGGCAACGTGGCTTTATCCGTGATTTTTGTGTGTGCAATGTACCTTCTCATCCAGCAGAGGGCACTCTTGTCGTTATTGAAACATTAATTTGGTGATACTGCAATACACACACAAAAACCTCAACACGTTCGTCAATAACACTGCATAAGAACATTCAATAGGCGATGTTTCTGGTAGTTGCTTTTTGTGTTTAGTTTGCTGTCCTTCCCCGCAACTCCGATCACCACGGTTGACTACGTACCGCGAAAGAAGTTCGACATCCATAGGTCAGAAAGAGGTTATCTCCCTGGCCTGTGCTATAAAGGGGCCGTCCATAAATGACGTCACGCGATTTTGGACGGTTTTGGATCCCCCCCCCTCGTCACACGGCGTCACAAAAAGTCAGACCCCCCTCAAATATGACGTCATAAAGCGCTGCCCCTCCCCCCACCCTCAAAAAAATAAAACATGCTTCAAATTGCTTTAAACTATTGTTGTCATTGTAGTGCGTATTTAATGTGGCGCTGCACTCTGATGTTGTAAAAGAAAACATTTATTAAAAAGTCTATTTAATTAAGTAGAACGTGTTGTTGTCTATATTTATTTAAAGTTGCGCATTTTGATGTGACGTCACATTTCTCCCCCACCCCCCCCATCGTCACACATCGTCACAAATGTCTGACCCCCCCCCCCTAGGTGCGTGACGTCATTTATGGACGGCCCTTTTCCCTCTCGCCGCGGTGGTCGCGTGGATTTTTTTCCCTGGGTTCCTCCGGGTTTTGCCCTCCACATTTAGAACCAACACTCGTATAGATGATTTGGCGGCTTCTGTAAATTCCCACGTGTGATGATTCTATATAAGCCACTGCAATGAGCCCTCATCTGTGGCCAGGTGGCCTCGGAAGATGAGATACTAGCGCAGTGGGCTCTACCTGATCAACTAGAAATCGTTGTTTCCTTTATAATATCGAGTATTTTGTCCGTTAAAGGTCACACTGTTGACGTACTGTTTGTATTGTATTGTTTGTTCTTTGAGCCCGGCACTCCACGTACACCATCCCATAAATATTCTACCTTACTGCCGAGCAGTGGCGATGGTGACTTCCAAAAAGTACAGTAGTGTATTGAAATTGAAAGTTTCATATCGAAGATCTACCGTTTATCGAGGCCAAGCCATCGCCGGTATTCACTGAACGAGCAGGCCACGTCGTCAGCAGATGGCAGTGCAGCAACATCTCTGCTGAAGCATCTATCGCTGCCCGCCTTCACCCAACCGCACTGAACCACCGTGGTTGAAGTATGATTTAACAACAACAAAAACCCCAACCCATTATCCGCTTGGTCTGGTGAGGCCCTCATTGTGTAGGGAGGCTTTCATCCGGCAGTGGATTAACAAAAGCCTGTAAATCAATTAATCTCAGAAAGGACATACATTCGGAGTGAAAATTGGGAACATACTACATTCTTATAAATTCGATTTTGATAATAATTTAATTGTATTACGGTTCTCTCTTCAGCTGAAAACACACATACTGTAACTTTTCCCCTTTTTGCTCAGGTGCTGTGGAAATAAATGCCTCAAAGCCAAGGGAACATTCAAAGGTGCAGCAAGGTGATGGCAACATCATCAAGGCGATCGGAAGCACGGCCAGGGAAAATGTGACATCAGCTACCCATTCATGAGCACACCAGAGAGGTGGTAACGCCACCAAAACCACACCACCGAGGTGTCGACATGAACGCTTGACCTGCAACTAATCAAGGAAGCCACAGGTCAACAGTTGCTGCGACCTGGTGGAGGAGTGAACAGTTTGACTCGGAATTAAAGTGTGTGGCACATGTATGTGTCCATATATTTATATATTTGGATTGCATCTCCACACTTACATTTTCATTTACAGCGATGTTTCCCAAGTTTAAAAAGGTCTATTAAATTTCATACATCACTCGTATGCTATAATCCAGGGCGTAACATCTACTGCAGGAATCTTTGTGTGCGACTCTCACAATCATTCACACACACAGACGCACTGCACCGCTTGAGTGCTGACCACGGCACTGTATAAAGATTTATAGGGGGGAGGGGAGAAGGGGACCAAAGTCTCTGTTACTCACGGACCACTCCAGTGAACTGTACAGTCGGGTGGACTGAATCCTCATGAGTGCCAATGTGGTCACCCGGGGATGTACCCTGACTCCGGGTCCAGTGAGCTCCGTCTCGAATTTTCCAGCCAATAAACTCATGCAGCCTCCCGCGAGAGACGGACTCGTCACAGCACAACAGCACCCTCTGGTGCATTAAGGATTGCCTCTGCATTCCTCATCATCATCATCATCAGCCGTGATCAATCCACTGCTGGATGTAGGCCTCCTCAAGCCAAGGGTCTGCAGTGTAACATTCCATCTAGCACCAGCACGCGAGCCGATTGAATCAGCTCCATCTCCGTGGTGGACGCGTTCCTGACCATATTCCTTCCTTTGGCTTTCCTCTTGTCCTCTCACTGATTCGTCGCCTGCTCATGTCACCAAATCCGAGTCTGGGCTCACCGTCTACCGGTACAAGTGCCACGTTACCTCCCCGTTTTCATAAACCCTGCTGCTGTTGTTCCACATCAACGCTTCATTAGTGGGAGGCGTGGGGTGCTCTTGGCCCCTGTGGCTCACTCAGTGGCGTAGCGTGGTTGGATGGGCCCTGGTGCAAATAATGAAATGGGCTCCCCTCCTCGTAGCCTGTCGCCAGGGTCCCTTCCGATTCTTGGGCCCTTGTGGTTCACTTGCACCCCCGGCACACTCGAAAGCTAAACCACTGGGGTCACCAAAATGGAAACGAGGCAAGTGATGATTTAATAAAATTGTCTCTTACACCCACGATACAGACCTCGCATTATGAATGTAACAATTGATTATTATTTAAGATGCATTCAAATGAAAGCGTATGTCCGTGTCACATTTTGTTGACAAAACCACAGAGTGGCAGTCACAGGAGGTAAGACACTGGAGAGGATGTTCGGCGTGGATATGCAGCGGCTAATTTGACTCACGTGCAAGACCGACTGTTGCATCGCGGGACGAAAAGTAATGGCGAAGGCTTAGGGAGATCTTCATCCAACAGTGGCTGAATGGGGGCTGATGAGGACGACGATGATTACGTTTAGGCTCGTGGAGGGAATTAAACTGTCCATACAACGCATTAATAAAAATAACAAAAACTTGAACGAGGAAATAAAAATAGGAGAACATTGTTGTATTCTTGAATTAAATCGCAAACAGGAATTGTGACAACTCATCGTATTGTGGTGGTGGTGGATGGGCGGTTGTGGTGAATAGTTTTGCGTATGACTAATTCATTTAAAATTGCATAAAAAAACTTATCAGATTTAGCATGCCCAGCACGGAGCTCAAGCAGTGCAAAAGGCACCGGAAACAAAGATAAACATCTCCCGATTAGACGTACACGACTTTGCGAGGCAAGCGCTCTCAGCAAGCGTCTGTGAAGGGGCCGGCAGGGTGGCCGGCACCGCTCCTCGGAGTGGCGATGTTTACACACCGCACCAAACTGAGCGGCTGTCCATAAATGACGTCACGCATCTAGGGGGGGTCAGACACTTGTGACGATGTGTGACGAGACGGGGGGTGGGGGAGAAATGTGACGTCACATCAAAATGCGCAACTTTAAATAAATGTAGACAACAACACGTTCTACTTAATTAAATAGACTTTTTAAATAAATGTTTTCTCCTACAACATCAGAGTGCAGCGCCACATTAAATACGCACTACAATGACAATAAATAAAGCGATTTGAAGCATGTTTTATTTTTTTGGGGGGGGGAGGGGGGCAGAGCTTTGTGACGTCATATTTGAGGGGGGGGGGGGTCTGACTTTTTGTGACGCCGTGTAACGATCTAGGGGGAGGTCCAGAATCGGTCCAGATAATCGCCACTGGTGTTAGCCGTCAGCTGGAATCAAACTCGGGTCGCTAACAGCGATTACACTCCCGCTCCCCATACCCACACCACACAAACATTCGCATCCATCCTCTCGTCAATGCTAGACCGTGGTCACCAGCACAATATGATTGTATCATCACCGCGCGTCTCTCTCAAGGCCTTAACATAGCCAACCCATCGCCACCCGTCCTTGTCAAGGCTTCCGAATAAACAGCACACACGTTCAGCAACCACCTCGCTCTGCACGCCAATGCGGCAGCTCTGCAAGTCGAGCCCCAGTTAAGAGCCATGCAGCTGACCATGGTGACTTTAGTGACGGCACTAAACCCTTCAGCGTGCGTGCAAGTTATTGTATTGAGAAATGTCTCAATCCAACAACGCCTGATAGAAGACATCGCAATACACGCTCGCCATTCTCCAACATAGCACGGTTAAAATAAGAACCTAAAACATTCGTCATGAACACTGTGGCCTTCAAAGGAAAACATTTATAACAGGTGACGTTTCGGGCAATAGCCCTTCATAGCACATACCATGGTTGGCTCTACTCTGTTCGCCTCGACCAACGCAGCGTCACCGAATCATAATAAAACGATCTGTTTCGTTTTCCGAATGGGCACCGATAAACTCTCACCTGGAACGCGATCTGCAGGACAGGGCAGATGCACCTCTCGGTGGCGAGGTGTTCACTGCCTCGCCTCGTATGCAGGAGGTCGTAGGTTCGATCCCGACCCTGCCTCCTGTATATTTGACATCTGCACGTTCTCGCCGTGTTCACGTCTCCCGTTTTTCCACTCCACATTTAGAATCGCCATGCGTTTAGAGTTTATTTGGCTGCTATACATTTCCACACGAGCTGTGATTTGTGGCCACGCCGCTTCTTTATAGCTCAGTGGGGCTTTACCTGGTAAAAATTAAAATAGTTTATATATTTTTTTTGTTAGTTTGTTTTCTAAGCAGATCTTCCTGTTACGTGCTTTTATTCTCCCCCATCTTGTTGGAGATGATTGCCACGTCTCCTTGAGATGATTGCCACGTCTCCTTGCGATGATTGCCACGTCTCCTTGCGATGATTGCCACGTCTCCTTGCGATGATTGCCACGTCTCCTTGAGATGCTTGCCACGTCTCCTTGCGATGATTGCCACGTCTCCTTGCGATGATTGCCACGTCTCCTTGAGATGATTGCCACGTCTCCTTGCGATGATTGCCACGTCTCCTTGAGATGATTGCCACGTCTCCTTGCGATGATTGCCACGTCTCCTTGCGATGATTGCCACGTCTCCTTGAGATGCTTGCCACGTCTCCTTGAGATGATTGCCACGTCTCCTTGCGATGATTGCCACGTCTCCTTGCGATGATTGCCACGTCTCCTTGAGATGCTTGCCACGTCTCCTTGAGATGATTGCCACGTCTCCTTGCGATGATTGCCACGTCTCCTTGCGATGATTGCCACGTCTCCTTGCGATGCTGTGGGTGGCGAGGCAGTGCCAGGACACTGCCCTCGCTCTCAGCAACGTTGTCGTTTGTTGTGGACCCGCAGAGAACCGCGGGTCTCTCGTGTCAGCTCGCCGGGAAACTGGCTGAACGGGATCGTCCGTGTAATTAAAGTCGGCTACAGTGAGTTAAAATGATCTGTCACGGGTAACGTCAGTGGCGAGCGAGATTCGGATCGATTTTTGCCACCCGCCCGAGCATGCATCCACCAACGCTCACCAGCATGGTGAAGTATGGTCAAACGCCCCCCCACCCCCCTCCCCGTGACCGACGTGGCGTGCTGAGGGTTTTAATTCAGCAGTAGTTCTCCAAAGTCGTGGAACTTATGTTCTTATTACGACGTTACCTATTATGTTTATGTCTGTTTATAAGAAAATGTCTACTCTGCACAACAACATGAGCAGGTGTTCACAGTGCACACAGCCTCCCGCAGGTGTTCACATTAAACCATTCAGGTGCACACGTGGTGAGTCTTATTGACTCACCACGTGACCACGTGTCTTATTGACTCACCACGTGTCTTATTGACTCACCACGTGAGTTGGCGGATAATGGTTTTCACTTTCGCGTGCGGATCTCTCCTTATGACTCAAAGACTTCCACGATTCAGTGCCGGATTATCCTCGTAGCAAAAGTAGCTGCATAATGCTCCGCGCTAAATACATTCAAGCTATCAATTCCGGTTCAGTGATTCTGCACTTGCTCTATGACTATAGTACTATACTGCCTTCAACTTTTATGAACGACTGGGTGTTTAAGGTTAGCGATTTGTCGTATTAACTGGCTGTATAGCAAATGCAAAAATACAATTACTTTACTATGCAAGTAAAAAAATGTGTTTTAATATTGACGTTTTTGTTTATTTATTTAGGGCCCCTTTATAACATATGCTGCAGGCCCCGCACTAGCTTAATCCGGCACTGTCACGATGCACTTTGTATTTCTTCAACCGCAAGGGAACGGGAAGAGAACGCGCATCCGTTTGGACCACGTGGCTGAACGGAAGGAATCTCACTCAGGTAAAAGGGGTGAGTTTATTTTAGCGATTCAAACACCTGTCAAACGAAGCGCTCGACAGCCGGAAGCTGAGGTTATTTTTAGCGTTTTTTTGTTATACCCCATTACGCAAACTTAAAACACCGTGACGTCACAAAATTGACTTTGGAAATAATTTCCGGAATGTTGCTTTGCCAAAACCAAGCAGGTTTGGCCCGGCATCAAATCACGGCAGCCACCGCAGGCCATAACTTTGGACGGCGATACAGGATGTTTCCATGCAGAAAACCCGCACGGTTATAATATGGGGGGGGGGGGGATGAGAGGAGAGCATCCTTTTGGTACACGTTTCAAAACCCAATCTCACTCAATACACGTTGTGATCACGTGAACACACTCTCTGCTCTGTAAGATATGGGAGCCATCGTTTGCACAATATTCAATGAAACATTGATATAAAAAACGTATGGTCATTAGAAATCAGTGAGGTAATGAATTAATGTATCACATTTTATTCTTGCCGCTGCTGCTCATAATTCAAAATTTAAACTTTTTGCAAAACGTTTTTTTTCTTTTTATCAACTATGAAGCTCTTTTTCAGAAGAGACCTTAGCCACAAATGATAGCTTAACGAAGTGGCTTATCGTGTGGATATTTATCGCAGCCACATACTCCAAAGGCGTGTTTCTCAATGTGGAGGTGGAAAACCGGAGGACCCAGAGAACAATCCACTCGACTACGGTTAGAACATGCAAACTCCAAATATACAGGCGTCAGGGTCGGAATCGAACTCACGACCTCCTCCATACCAAGCAACGGAGATAACATCTCGCCAGATATGTCGGCCTTAGTTTGGCTATTGTTGTTCAGGCATTGCAGTTACACAGGGAGCCTATCGGGGTACAATAGTTGGGGTAGGTGGGTAGGTGGGCGCATTGCTCTGTGGGAGATGTCCTGCAGAGTAACTCAAACAGATTGAAATGGGCGACTAGGGCAAGCAGCTCGTGGCGAACCACGCAACGATCAACCGGGTAAGTTGAGTTCGATTCGAGTCCACTGGCAAATATCAGTGGCGAATGGCAGATCTGAACGGTTCCTGGACTCCTCCACAAATCTCTACTAACCAGAGTGGTGAAAAAAAAAAGTGTCCGAGAGTTGAGAGGCCGTTACTGAGCAGTGGATTGACTCGGGTTGTGCATTTAACTTAGTTAAACTTACATCCAGACAAGTGACCCCCCCCCGCCCGCCGCCCCCCCCTAAATGTTTTAATCGCAGGCACTGCCCTCCTCTAATTTGGAGTCCAGATTTCAAAGTAAGGTTGTGCAGCCTGCAAGTGCTGACACAATTAATAGATCATGTATTAAAATAATTGTCAAAACAATATTTAATCATATTTACGAGCTGATTTCATCGCTCCTTCTCTTTGGCTGCCACTCCATTTGTCGTCTCGACCACCGGCCACCATCGCCTTAACGGGAAGTGCCCAAGGCAAATCGACTTGACCTTCCTCACCGGTGAATGTGATTCTCTCGAGCATGCACGGGATTGTCCGATCCACGTGTACAGGAACTCTTCTACTTACGAACATTCGACTTACGAACTTTCAGAGATACGAACAAACCTGTCCGTACGTCTAGTTCCCTGTTCGGACCGAGAGTCGTAAGTTCAACCGCCGCCGCAATAGATGGCGGTGGTGGCATCTACATCTGCAGAACATGAACCAGTGGCATCTACAGGAGATTATAC